TGGAGTCTGGGGTGCTTCCCAGGTGTCTGCTCCCTGGAGGGATTTCAGGGCAGGAGGGAGTTTTTCAGAGGGGTGGGGAAGCCTCCTGTGAAAGCTGAGCCAGGGCTGCCTCGGGGCTGTGACTTGCCATCCCTGTGAGATTTAGCACCAGCAGGAGTTCTTGGTCCTGGCCATCCACCCTTCCTTCTCCAGGGGAAATTCCTGCTCCCAGCATGATGTGGGGGGAGTGGGCCCAGCCTGAGGCAGAGCTGCTCAAACCCTGTCACAGCAACACGAGCTGGTGCCAACCTCAGTCCACCCATGCACCTCGTTGCCTCCAGGGAGGAGGTCAGGGTAGATACAGGTGTGGTTCCACCTCATAGGTGCCACTTCTTGGCTCCCCCTCTAGAATTATAGACTCTTTTAGATTGGAAAAGACTTTTAAGGTCATCGTGTCCAACCTGACTCTACCAAGCCCACTCCTGAACCACGTCCCTCAGCACCACATCTAAACCTTTAAACATCTCAGCCACTTCCCTGGGCAGCCTCTTCCAGGCTTTGACAACCTCTCAGTGAAGAGATGTCCAAACTAAACCAGCTTGAGGCTGGTTCCTCTTGCCCTGTTGCTTGATCCTTGGGAGAAGAGTGTGACCCTCACTCAACTCCAACCTCCTGTCAGGACGTGGTTTGTTCCTCATGGTGGTGTTGGGTTGATGGTTGGATTTCATGATCTGGGAGGTCTTTTCCCAACTTTTCCCCTTCAGGGAGTTGTCAAGAGTGAGAAGCTCTCCCCAGATCCTCCTCTCCAAGCTCAACCCCCTCAATTCCCTTGATGTCTTCCCTGCGTGGAGGTGCCCAGCACCACTGACCAGGCTCGTGCACCCTCCTCTTGACAGGCAGTGCAACAGGACCTCTGTGGGCAGTGGCAGCTGCGACCTGCTGTGCTGTGGCCGTGGGTACAACACCTACAGGGAGGAGGTGGTGGAGAGGTGCCACTGCAGGTACCACTGGTGCTGCCACGTGGTGTGCCAGAGGTGTCGGCGGGCGGTGGAGAGACACGTCTGCAAATAGCCCCCGGGGCTCAGCTCTGCTCCTTCCCTCCAGAGCCAGACAAGGGGCTGCCCTGAGGAGAAGGCTGAAGGGGAAGAAGCTGCTGGGGGTGAGGGAGTCACACGTGGCTCCTCTGGGGACAGGTTTCTGGTGTCCCAGCACCACCAGAGGGTCCTCCTCAGGGATAAATGCTGGTCCTCTCAGCATCTGAAGGGTAGGCCAGGCTTGGCACGGGCAGAACCTGCATGTCTGCAGGAGACAGAGCTCATCCATCCTCCCCAGGACTTGTATGGAGATTGCTGCTGCTCTCACAGCCATGAGCCTTCATCTTTGGCTGATGATGATGGGCTGGGGCACAGCAGAGGTCCTGGAGGGTGCTGGGGTGGGCAGCGTGGCAAAGGGGGCACCTGGCAGCCTTGGGGCAACAAGGCAGCTGTGGCAGCCCCGTGGCTTCTGCCCTCTGGACCTCTGCTGAGAGAAGAAGCCCACCCAAGGCCTGGCATGCTCATGGCTCATCCTTCCTGCCCTCACTTTCAGCCCACCAAGGTCTTCAGCCCACTCCTTCCACCCCCTTAAGACCTGGCCTGGAGTGAGGGCACGAAGCCACGGCCCTTGGGACATGAGGATGGACCTTCAGTCTCTGTGCTCCATGTGAGGGGGATTCTGGTGTGTGGGTTTTAAATAAATGAGTTCTACCTTCTCTCTCTGGGACATGTTTTCTAGGACAACCTGCATCCTCCTCTTCCTCTCACTGCCCCCAAAGTGACCCTGTGGTGCCCCTGCCCCTGCACGCAGCCGGGGACCAGCTCAGGTTTAACTCTTCCTGCTGCTCCCTGGCAGCAAATTAAATTCTCTTTAATTGCAGGTTATCTGTCAGCAGGTGGAAAACGGTTGGAAAGTTTCTCTCTGGCCCAGGGCTTGCAGGGGATAAGAGATTCCTGCTCTTTGGAGAGAAAGGATGAGTCTGAACGCAGGGGAGCTGAGGAGAACCCCCAGCAGGAGGAGGGCAGGTGGATGGGATGTGAGTTATAGAGTTGTAGGATTGGTTTGGTTGGAAGAGAACTTTAAGATCATCCAGTCCAACCATCACCCCAGCACTGCCCCGTGTCCCTCACCCCACATCTCCACGGCTTTGGGGCTCCACCACGGCCCAGGGGGGTTTTTTCGGCCTGGCACAGCCCTGGGCAACCCTCCAGGGCAAGAAATTGTTCCTCAGGGACAACTGAAACCTCCCCTGGGGCAACTTCCCTGGGAGCAGAGCCTGACCCCCCCCCGGCTCCAGGCTCCTGTCAGGAGCTGTGCAGAGCCAGAAGGTCTCCCCGGAGCCTCCTTTGCTCCAGGCCCAGCCCCCCCAGCTCCCTCAGCTGCTCCTCCCCAGAGCCGTGGTGGCCTCGGCTGGGTCACAGAATCCATTCTCCAGCCTTTGTTGTGAGCCCTGCCCTCCCCTTAACGTGCTCCAGGTTTCTGGGTTCACAGGGAGGGAGAGCCGAGGGTCAAACTGGCCTGAGACAAGCCCTGAGCTGCTGGGGGGTGAACCAGCCTGCCCAGAGGGACAGGACAGCCCAAAAAAATCCGAGTTTTTCCTTTAAAATGCAGCTGGGGCTTAGTCACCATCCTTCCTCAGAAAAAGGAGTCTCCAGCTGCCAGGCTGTGAAACCTCGTGTCCAGAGGTGATGCAGGTACTTAATTAGGAGGATGGCTTAAATCTCTTCCCTCTGGCCACCTCCCTGTGCACCCCCTGACACCGGGAGGGGGCTGTGAACTCCCAAAAGCATTGCAAAAGGAGCGGGTGAGAAAAAAAAACCAACAAAACCACCCGAAAACCACAGGGGAAAGAGCTTGTGGAGGGAGAGACGGCAGCCAGGAGGGTGGGAAATGGGATTTGCATTTGGTAACTACAAACACCCGTCGCCTGGGGGAGAGGAGAGGAGCCACAATAGCAGGGAACGCCCCGGGGGAGATGTGGTGATCCCCTCCTAGAGAGGTCCCATTTGAATTTCTGCCTGGGAACTGGCAGGGTCAAGTGGTGAATATGCAGAATCCTCTCCCCTCCTGGCACCCCGACTGCCAGCCCGGCTGGCAAGAGCTGGGAAAGGACCCGAGGGGTCCAGCCAGCCTTAGCCAGGAGTTTGGGCTTTGTTGGGAATGGGGGGAGAGCAGCAGCCTCAGCCAGAGGGTGCAAAGGGCCAGGAAGGATGCGGTGGGGGAGGTGACACTGCAGTGACAATGGGAGGTGGTGGCACCTCTGGATTCACCAGGCTGGTGACGATGGGCTGGACTTGGAGGAGTCGCTGGGCCAGAGGAGGGGGGGGTTGGCATCAGGGGGGTGGATCTGGAGGGGATAAACCCTCTGTTCGGCCCCAGGGTTGAGGGGTCTCATCCTGCTGGGGCTGTTTGCTCTCTCTCAGCCTGCCCAGGGGATGATGAAACCTCTTCCCCCAGCCTTGGGCTACCACAGGTAAGGTAAAAGACAGGAAAACCTGGCCCCTGACATCACCCTCTGCTGGCTTCCAGCACCAGCCAGGGGTGCAAGGAGGCTCCTCCCTAACCCTCCATAGCTCTGCTTTCACCCCAAACATCTCCAGCTCAGCCAGATGGCCCTGCAGGACCTGGCTGAACCTGGGCAAGGATGTTAGCAGAGTCCCCAAAACCCACTGTGGCTTTACAGCCCCTCAGACACTTCCCTCACGTGAGCCCTGGTTTCACAACAGGTCCCCCGAGAGCGTGGGAGGCTGCTGACACCACCCTCTGCTTCTTGAGCTGATGGGAGGGATCTACCTCTTTGATTTTCCTGTCATTAGCCACGGAAAATTGGGGAAAATCTTGTGGCTTTTTGTTTATCCATCTCTCTGGAAATGAGAGCTGAATTCACCCTGGCCGTGGCAGGAATCTTCCACGTGAAGCCGTGAGCTGGCACGGGGAGAGGTTGCTCTGAAAACATCTTGTGCCTGGCAGAAACCCACCTCCCCCCACGAAAACGTGGGGAGAACCAGAGGGTTTGCTCTGAAATCCTCCTCTGCTGGACCCCTGGACCTTTAATTTGGGTAGGAACGGGATTGTTCCACGAGGGTTTGACTCGTGTGGACGTGAAGCCTGGAGGAGGGCGAGTGGTTTGCAGGGAGTGTGGGGACTTTGCTGCTGATAGTTTAGGCTAGATAAGTTTAATTAGATTTTAGTTTAGTTTCGTTTATTTCTTTATTCATGGAGGGATGCTGCCTAACTTCTTCCAGGAGGATATTCAGAGCAACAAGCTGTTGGTAATCAAGTCAACATTTGGGAGGAAGAATGAATGACCTTGTGTGCAAGAACATCTTGGGATATTTCTTGCCTACAGCCCTGGCGTGGAGCTGAGACTGGTCCCATGGGTCAGGACCTCCACCTACTTTTCTCTTGTGCTCTTCACAAAGAAAACTGGGGCAGAGCAAGGAGGAGGCCCAGGATGGGGCTCAGCCTGGGGGCTCAGCTGCTCCCATCCACATCTGGGCTGCTGTCACTCTCTGAGGGATGTCGCTGTGACCTTTGGGCTGGTTGGTGCCCACACGGTCCCACCACGAGGCACAGACACGAGCAGAGGCTCCTAGTTAAGGAAAAACCCTCAGGTCTCTGTTCTCCTTTATTTCTGGGGGGGGTTTAGGCACTGTCATGATGCGCCGAAGATGACAAACAACGACAGGGGTTGTCCTCGTGGGGATCTTCAGCTGAGGGACAGGGAGGAATCAACATAGGTGAGTAACAGCCATAAGACCAGAGGGGGAACTAGGCTGCAAGCTGAGGGCTCTGGGAGGCCAGCTGGGAGAGCTTCAGAGGGGAAGCAGACCTCCATCCCTCCTCCTCCTCCTCTCCTTGGGCCGACCAGGCTGCCATCCCTTCCAGCTTTGAACTCTGAACCCGGAGCCAGAAATATTTGGAGGACTTTCTCAGCTTCTGTAGGCATCAGATGTGACCACCCCGTGTGTGCTGTGGGGTGGGGTGAGGGATTTCCAGGCAGGCTTCAGCGTGGAGGATGTGCAAAAAGGGTCCCCCAGGTCCTTTTCTCCTGGGCAGAATGGTTCTTGGAGAGCAAACCTCAGCCTGGCTTGCTCTGAGAGGTGAAGGACTCCGAGGAGAACGCCCTGAGGAGGAGTTTGTTAAAGATTAAACAGAGATATCCTGGAGAAGGGTGATCTGTGGACTGCTCCCCCAGCCTGTGGGTGTCAGGAGGGGCAGCACACCCAAGGAATCCACTCTAGCACTCTCCTGTGCTCTGAATCCTTACAAGTGCTGCTGAAATGAATCCTGGAGGTGGATGATGGGTCAGCCCCTCACCCCACAGCTCTTCTGGGCTTTATCAGTAGCTTTTTATTGAGCTGTTTCACAGAGAGATGAAGAAAATCAGAGTCAATTGTGGGCTGAATTGTTTTTGGAGGCCGAGTGCTTCCAGCCAGCCTGGAATGATTATTACACTGTATAAATTTCTCACTTCTAGGTCAATTACCTGTGTTCCTAAGGGCCTAACAGTTGCTTTTAAAGCCCAGCTTTAACCCTTGCCAGCCTGATGCTCATCTAAACCTCAGAGATAGGTCCCTGGCTGTGTACTGAACCCATCTAAGGCCAATGTCACCCGGACATGCTGGCTCCGTGCCCTCCACGTGTGCCTGGCACAGCTGAGGTGCTGTGCTGTGGTGGGGGTCACAGCCACCAACAGCCTGGCTGCTGCTGGTGCCCCAGGGAGGAAGAAAACCCAGGGCAGGGGCTCAGCACCCTGCAGAAGTGCCAGCATGGGGCTCGTCAGGGTGGCACCGACCTTGCTGATAGAGTGATTTGGGTGGGAAGGGACCTTTCAGGGTGACCTCATCCAACCCCTCTGCAGGGACAGGGACATCCCCAGCTAGAGCAGGGTGCTCAGAGCCCCAAACAACCTCCCCTGGGATGGTGCCAGGGATGGGGCAGCGACCACCTCTCTGGGCAGCCTGGGCCAGGGGCTCCCCACCCTCAGGGTCAAACATTTCTCCCTTCTCTCTAGTCTAAATCTCTCTCTTTGA